GGGGGGGGGGGGGGGCAGGAATAAAAAAAGTCGCTACATGGGCTCGATGTTTTGGATTCCTCGCCTCGTGGACCGGCAAAAGGGTCAAAGTGACCCTGTTCCCGTAAGCACCGCAAAAAACAACCCCCTGCACGGTGCCAACGCTTTTTCTGCGGCGTTGCGACGTGGCTCTTGGTAAGTAGCAGGGAGCACGCACCAAAAGGAAGGTATGCTAACACCTAGGACAACAACACCTGGCACATGCCAACCTTAGACTCAAGAGAAGGAATCTGACCTTCCACGCCACCCTGACGCGTTTCATTTTGTGAATCCCCCCCCCCCCCCCCCCCCCCCCCCCNCCCCCCCCCCCCCCCCCCCCGACGTATTCGCGCTGCTGTTCCTGGCCCCCCTTTTCGATACCCAGAAACGACGTGGCCATGGCCTGCCCCCAGGGGACAAATCACCCAACACGCCACACTACTGTCCCTACACGAAAATCCCCTGGGCAGAACCCCAGCTTCTGTCCCAACCAAGCAGTACACCATCCCGATCCCGAACTGTTATAGAGCAAGGTCCGGGGGGTTGTGGCTGCTGCCAAGAAGACGTGACTCCAAGCACAAGAGCCAGAACGTGGCCCTCCCTCTAAAAACGCGACCCAACAGCAATTTCAGTTCCTAAAGCTCATCGACACCTACGTGCAACTCTGGAACTACGCACTCGCTATTAACACTTTCAGTTCCTACAGCTCATCGACACCCGTGTGCAACTCCGGCAAGACGCGCTCCTTGATGGCTCAATCCCGAGAGGGCCGTACTGCTACCTTCCTGGCTCACCTTTTCAAGGTCGGCGGCAGGGGCTACGACCTCTGGCATTGTCATCACCAGGGATTCGCTGTACTTGTCCATGGTGACCTTCCCACTCACCACCTTAGTCTCCCCGGGCTCGTAGTTCTTGCACAGCCAGGACCTGCGTTTTCAGATTGGTCAAGGTATGGACAGCAGTGGCGGTGGTTACGGATTAAGAGAGGCTTCGGACATGCCAACAACGCTATTATCAGTTTTTCTTAAAAACCGTACTGTGTAATATGTGTATTTCTTCTCATGGTCGGGACCAGCCAAAAATACCCTTTTAAACTCCGATTTTCTCTTGAACAATCCCTCTTAAGCACGCAGTTGTATTAGTTTCGCCATGATTCCGACCAGTTGTGGCGCGTTTGCGTCCAGTTAGGTGGGTCTGGTCGGGGGGCCAATTCGCGAGGTTTCCCGACCAATAACGTGCGAGCAGGATNGGGGGGGGGGGGGGGGGGGGGGGGGGGGGGGGGTTGCCGGGCCGGACTGAGTGACGGCCGTCAGAGGAGAAACCCAGTTATCCGTCTGGTCATGATCGTCTCCCACACGATTCCTGGACAAGCACAACACCAACACGCCTACCCGTCCACGTCCATGTGGAAACCTCCGGTAATTACCTAGTGTTGTCCACCGCCAACACAAAACCGCATCAAAAACGACACTACCCCTTCTCCTAGGGGGGCGGGTAAGGGCAGGACAGCTCTATACTCCGGGATTGTCTTCGGTGTACGTACGCACGGAATAAGCTACCTGAAGCCGGGCGGAACTACGTCTCTTGCTCTCACCCCCCAAACATGACGATGTCTATCTTATCCTCCGCCACGTCAACGCAATGGACGCGTGTGATTCGGGGCGATCTCCAGCGGGGGTCGCTCTGCACCTTTACCACCTGCGCGCGGCGCAAAGCAAGCGAAGCATCCAACCACGGGGCGGCGCAAAGGACAGAATCAGCAACCCAGAAACAACGTGAAACAACGAACGCGGCAGGGTACTACGAACGTGCCATTTAACTGGGTGTGTCGTAATGTCTCCTCTATTCTGGACGCCTTGGACTAGCCAACAGCTGTCGGGGATGATTTGGACGACGCACCGGCCGGAGTCACGCCGACTACTTGGAGAAACAAACGATTTCCTTGGAGAGACCTCCGATTTCCTAGGAGATTGCAACGATTTCAAGGAAAACAATGATTGGAACGAAAAACTGCGAAACCAGAGTGCGTGCCAAGGCGGCCGCACCACGCGAACGGGGAGAGACGAGGAGGACAAGACTGGGACATGCCACGGCGAGGAAGAGGGGCATCGTGGCAACACACGTGTCAAGCACCCAAGCCATAGGGGGGCGTCCCCGCTCGATTGATACAGAAGGGAATGCCGACAGCGACCTACAGCTGCGGTGGCCACAGGTCCCCACCCCACTTCTGCGCGGGTAGAAACCATGGACGAGATTGACCACTTGCCACGCCGCGCCAAAAACTCGACCATTCACTTTCACGAAAAGGTACACCAGGGCTTTCGTCCGAAAGAGGGCACTCAAAAGAAGCGCGTGAGGGAGAAAAAACACGATGCAGACGTGTAGCAGCAAAAAAGGGGCACTTGTGTCAGACGAGACGACGGGCGTCACCTTGAGCAACATGGTAGCAACCTCTCCCTCCACGAGATCCGCCACGTGGCTCGTTTCCCTCCTGTCCACCATCCCCGTCGGAAGGTGCCAGAGCAGATCTGCCACGGTGGTTACACCTGTTTGCCCGAGGGCGTTGGCCGCGCGGAGGCGGGCAAAGAAAAACCGCGTAGCGAGTGGGTGAACGTAGGAGCAACGGACAGAAGAAGAGATGTGCGCCCGGGCAGCGGAGTGGAAAACGGAGCAACAGCAGACTCTTACGCGGTACTAGTACGGACACGCACGCAACGAACGGACAATCAACGGGACTTGGGCAGTCAACAGCACCGACGCCACCAACATTGCAGTAACTCAGCGATCAATTCCCCCTTCCCTCCCATTTCACCTAGCTTGGCCAGCTGCTCGGCCTTTCTCGGCCCTACTCCCTTCAGGGCATCCTCAGGCGGGCTCGACAGGTACGACAGGGTCTCCGCGTACGCGTATGATTCGTCCACGACGGCACCCTTCCCCCCCCGCCGCGCAGCAGCTACCCCCGTAGTAGCCTTCCTGGCTTGCCTGGGACCACTGCCCTTCTTCCCGTCTCTCGTGGCGGCCGTCCCGTACCCCGTCCCCGTCGCAGCGAATTCATCGGAGGCGTTATTGCCGCTGCTGCTGGTTTCTCGTCGCAATTCTCTTGCTGCTACAGTGCTGGTGGACGAGCCTCGTTTGGGGGCGCCGCTGCCGACGGCTGGCGCGCGCGAGAAGGGAGAGAGTGTCCGTGAACGGGTGAAAAACACTGAGTCTGATACTTGGTGGGCAGCAAGGGGCGGATCAAGGCACACGGCGCTTGCTCACCCGACTTGGAGTTACGCGGTTTCGAGGTCACAGGGTTACTATATATCTGGTTAACGATGCATCAGTGCTGGGGTGCAGTACCTTTACGTGCTTCGGCACAGTCTCGTGGGGAGGCCGGGCCGGGGGGGTCGGTGGTGCTGGTTAGCCTTGAGGCGTGCAAAACACCAAACGTTGCTAGGGTACCGGCGGGCTTCACCAAACCTGGCGTGCGATGTAGCAATCTTTCACGGACATATAGATTGAGTTTGTAACGCATTGAGCGGCTTTCTCTCCGCATGTCGAGCAGGGGACTCATCGTAAGCGCGAGAGCGGCTTCTTCTCTCTACACGTCGAACAAGCGGTAACGTTGGCAAACGAGCGGTTGGGTTCACGTTTGCTCACTTTGCAGGCGATAGAGGCCGAAGTTTGGCCTGGTGAGCACCCGCCGAGCCGCGGTCGTCCTCCAGGCATGCCGCCCAAGCATGCTGCTGCCTGCTCCTACGAAGGACGCCAGGGGTGATGTTGTGGAAGTAGCAGTGGTAGCGCTGCTGTGCGGTTGCTGATTGCGTGACGAGAGGGCCATGGAGAAGAGGGCGGGGGAACAGCGGTGTTAGCAGGGGGTGCGGCTGAATACATAGAGAAGATGCACGTACGTGACTGCGCCCGCATGATATCGAATTGTGCACCATTGTGCAATGCCACACTACATCCCCTCGGTGACATTAGATATCACGCAACAGCAATTCGGTCCGATTATCAGAGCGCGGCTTACCGCAGCGAACACACATGGCGGTGCCGAAAAGGACGGCGTTGGAATCGTCCCTTCAAAATCTTACCGAAAGCAATTCGTTCGATTCATTCGTCCTCTTTTGTCGGGGAGTAGTCGAGCTTTCACAATCGGTACATGGGGTGTGGTATCCAATGTCACCTGCGCATTCTGTAAAGAGCAAGCAGGAACACTGCGGGTCCTGTGAGTGTAGTGCATGCCATAAAGGTACCACGCCCTCCCACAGAATACCACACCCGGTGACAACATTGTGCTCAACATGACCCCACACCTTTAAAATACCCTCAGGTCCGGGCGACGGAACATACCACACGCCCTACCACAACACCATGTGATGTTTTCCAACGTCAAAACTGTTATTGCCACCGGGCGTGGTACCTTGTGTTGTCGTATGCGGTACGTCGCTGTCAGAGGTGTGATTCTAGAGACGGTATTCGACGAGAGAGGGGTAGCGGGGTGGGAAGCCGCTGATCATCAAACGAGTCGTAGCAGCAGCAGCAGCAGCAGTGCCTCGTTTCGGACGACGGTAAAAAAAGGGGCCCTTGGTGGTCGAAACCCACCGACGACGTTGGCAGTTACCGATACAAACGCCAACGGCATGTCTCCGTCACGTACACAGGGGTTTTCTAGAGAGATAGAGAGGGGCGAGTAGATGCCTTCGTTCCGGAGACCCGAGGCAACCCACGACCGCCGTCGCTCGCGGCTCGCGGAGTTTCTTGTCGTTGCAGGGCGGCACCGCATCCAACCCGACCGCATACAGCAGTACATAGCGGCCGACACGAGTGCCCAACAGCAGTATCAACCCACCAAGTTTCTTTTCTAATCCTGGCTTTCGGAGTATGGTCCACCAGCGGACGACATGCAAGCGGCAGCCTTTGCATGGCCTAGAGCAACCACTGGTGTAAATACGTTTTCTCGGCAAAGGATCCCACGACGACTCAACACTGCCCCTGGGTGCGACTCGCATGTTTGAACTGCTTGAATCTTCATATTCTGGACTGCTGAATTTCGTCTCTGGAATATTCCCGGACTATTGCTGTGGTGGACGCCGCGGAAAGCTCTCACCTGGTTGCACACAAGTTGGTGGGATTTCCCTCCTCCTTCTCGGCCCCCGAAGCGCGAGCACGTGCCTAGGGCACCTTCGCCCAACAGCGACAGCAGCAGCGCAAGCAATGCACCTCTCGCAGCAGCAGCAGTCCTCATCAATTTACTGGCGGCCACACACGGTCCTGACAACAGCAACTGCCCCCAGAAGCTAAGTCCCGCAACGCTTTGTGTCTGGATACACTGCGCACGGGAGATACAGTGCACCTGCCGTGGCTGTGTAGCTCTTGTTGCTACCGCGTAGTGCTGCATGGCTGGGCTTAGTCCTGAGGGGGTCTGTGGATTTTTTTTCACTTTGCATATCTCTTCCAATGTTGAATGATTCTACGGAGCTCAGCGAAATGTAACACGAACATGATTCGGGGCAGGCCTCACCTTCATCGTTGCCATGCTCTACACCAGCCACCGGCTCCTGTACGATTGCTGCGCTGTGTGACGACGATAAACTTTGGGTACAGCCTAGAATATAATAAGATCCGGGAATTGATATCAGCTTGGGAGAAGGCCGGGAGAAGGCCGGGAGAAGGCCGGCACGGGTACATCCCTTCAATACATATTACTGACCGAGTTCCCGAACAACAGCATCGAGGTCAGCTACGCCGGGGGTCACAAGGTCAGCTGAGCCGGAGTTGGGGCATGTCCCCCGCTGACATGTTACGGCTGACGCTCCCCCTACTGCTCTCTGTGCCTGCAGCAGGCGTAGCAAGCCTGCCTTCATCTTCACGGGGACTGGTCCCGCACCGGTCATCTCCGCTCTACCTGTCAACCTCGGCAGCCGCAAAAATAATGTTCGACCGCAGCAGCTGCAGTGGCGGTGGGATATCATTACCATCTGCAAGACCCGGGTGGCCAAGACGAGGGCAGAGATTGCAACGGGGATCAAAGAACATCAAGCACCAATTGTCGTCGGGGTGGGGAGTGGGCGTAGTTTGTGGGGCTGGTGGAGACTCAAACGCCGGCGACGACGAGAGCAGCGGAAGAAGAGATGATGACAGCGAAAGGGGAAAAAATGATGGCGCGAACAGCGCACCTAAGGACGAAGGGTCGCTCATGGCTGAGAAGCAGGGCGCCAACAACAGCGCGGGCGATGGTGACGATTCGTTGCAAACGTCAGCGTTTTCTGTTTCGGCCCTCGAAGATGAACTTCAGGCGCGTGCAGCACAGAAAGCGGCAACAACACAACGGGATGGTGCCAGAAGCGGAGGAGGAACAACCGCCGATGAAGGGGAAGACGCTTGGTTGCCGCGATTCTTCCCGCCACCGTTACCGACGCAAGACGACGAAGAAGGAGATGCCATTCAGCCTTTGATTGAGCTCCCTCTGGACGGGATCCTTCTGCAGTTGTTCCCGGCTCTGCTGATAGGTGTGTTGGGTCTTTTCCTTACGGTCGTCATTCAGGTGGAAGCCGGCAGATTCGACGGAATGGTGGGCGAGGACGGCGGGGTCGTTGTTGTGACCGACCTTCGAGACACAAGAACGCAGGAGCAACCATGAAGACTCGGAGGGTGAAGTACAACGCATCTTTGAAACATGGATCTGGTAGGAGGTATCCCTAAATTCGTTTGAGAACAGGTTAGCAGGTGTGAGGAGGTGCTAATGATTAACCTCTTCTTGGTCGTGAGTTATTGCGAGCGTTGAGAGTTGTTGGCGCTCGCCAGACTATACGAGGGCATGGATAAGGTTTTTGAAAAGTGAGGCGGCAAATGCGGCTGGGTTGTTTCCTTAGCATTGATCAGTTCTGAACGTTCTGGGCTCAATCTCATGGGTGCTGTTATGTAGTACTTTGAAGCTTCTGAGATCCACACATCCTTGTTCTTGCAGAGGAGACCGATTGTGTTGGGTACGAAACGACGCACGTACGCACGTGTGGTTTATCTTGGCAAATACCAAGCATAAATGATGCTGGTGGTGTCCTTAAATATGCTTTGATTGTGTTGCCACGACAAGCAATACTTTCGATTCTCCGGTTGCTTATTGTTGCCGTAGGCGATGCTGTCACATGTGGGTTACTTTGTCTTCTTCATATGTGCAGTCTACATTCTTGGCCACAAACGATGATCTTTTTCGACGCCTTCCTCGAGGAGGACATCGGTTGTTGTTGTGTGGACGAAAAGTATCAAACCCTGGCGCTGGGGATGGTATTCTTCTCCCAACTTGCGAGAAGTCCGCTTTCTTCTTGCGAATAACATCGTTGGAAGGCACTCAACGCCAAGTTACACACATGGCATGTATTCTCTTCTGTACGAGGAGAGGTGCATACACACACAAACACGTGCGTTCACGATGAAAACTACCACTTACAGCAGTACTACAGCTGTAGACTGCTTGCTGCCGCGTGGATGATTCCGAGAACAAGATGTAGGTTAGTCGCTCTGAATGGAGTACGGTCAATACGAAAATATCCTCAATGGTGAAGCGAGCAAGTTAAAGTGCTGTTCGGTGAATTGTGCTGAAGAACGTCGACATTGTCCTACTGCTGTGTTTGGATGTAGCACGCATAGTGAAGAGTGCGTTGACAACCGCTGCCCCGATCGGTTTGCATCCGTCCATACACACATGGGAAGTATTGATGGGGAAGAATGATCAAATGAAGTATACGCCATTTGTCAACAAACACTCGGCTATTTTTCCCGCTCAGCACGCCCAATCCGCACCCGCAGAGGAAATATTCACCACGTCAAGTCCAAACACTCTGTACATGTAACTGAAACGAGTTTACTGTACCTAACAAGAAATCTACGCTGTTGTCCCTCGTCCTGTACGTAGTCTCGGGGCGAGAGTTTGGGAGGGTTCCTACATATATTTGTTTCGCAGCAAAACGCGACAGGTAGTCAGTCGTGTTGAGGTGCCATTTCATTGTGAGGAGGATACGCCCCCCGAAGGACGGGTTGGTCACTACACCTTCGTACACAGCGGTCGTACCCGTGCAGTAGTTATTTGAAACAGATGATGATGAGCTTAAGAAGAAAGGAGGGGTGTCAACAAAGAACACACAGGCGTGGGATTCCTGTTAAAAGTCCGAACGATACAGACAAAAAACACCTCCACAGAATGTAGGTGTGCTGCAAAACCAACTGGGTTTTGAATCTGTGCCGAACGCGCTTGAAGCCAATATTAATTGCTTGGAATTGGAGACACTCCGCACCACCCTAGCTGGACTGAGTTCGCTCGATCACGCTTGGCATTCCTCGCCACATCGCACCAAAGGAAATAGCCAGCCTCCGGTGGCAGGTCATAACCACCACGCTCCAGACTCTCCGCTCACCCAGAGTAGAGGGCTCCATATTGGCGTTCGACGAAGCGTTTTCTCTTTGCAGCCCACCTACAGAACATGGGAACTAAGAAAGAGAATGCAGCATTGCAACAACCGCAACAGGAGCCGAAGCAGCCGAAGCAGCCGCGTCCCGACGCTGCTGCGCCCACCGCGAAACCCGCGGCTAAGCCCTGAACGGGACAGCCGAAACCGAAGCAACCTGGGGAAGCCGCCGGCGCTGCCGTGAGCGTAGCAACCCCGCAGAGCAGTAGCCACGGCGAATCCCGCGGGTACTACCATGCACTGGCCGGTGAGAGTCGCGACAGCGACAACAACAGCAGCGCTGGCGATGGCACCAACGATGGTAGCGCTCACCCCACCGACACCGACACACACACCGACCGCGACGCCGATAGCAATGACGACGACGACGGCGACGACGACCTCGTGCAGGACATCCTGCGGAACCGCGCTGAAACCGCCAGCCAGCAGAGCACGTCGTTCCTGGCGAGCGGCAGCCCGATTGAGGCCGTTCGGCTAGATCCAGAAGGCAGTCGATACGGAGAAGGCCACGCCAGCATGGGTCCTCAACATGATCATGCGCACAGCCGCTCACGAGCCGGATATCCAGCAGGCCAATCGGCGTTCGCTTGCCCAGGATCTACCAGCAGAAAATAGTTCTGGTATGCACACAATTGACAGTTTCGGACTCAATTTTTTTTCCCAATTAAGGAAACATTTTTTGAGTTGAGCCGTCGTTTTGAGGATCGCTCCTGACAGTCTCGCCAGAACCCACAACAAGGAAAAAAATTACAGATTTAAGAGCCGAGGGAGGCTTGGTTTGTGGAAAATTCTTCACGATTGTATTATTTACAACTTTCTTCGAAGTAACACATCACACGCACCACCGCACGCACACACAGCAGTCTGCTGAGAACATGTCAGCGCGGCCAAAGAGAAGGCCAGCGCCCAGCGAAAGGCCTTGGAGTTGTTGCATCACCGACACAAAAACAGGGAGGCTGCACGGTCAGAAAGTTGGGTTTGTTTCCGGCTGGCTTGAGGTCAGCAACATGCCCGTCAGATTGAGGCAAGGGGGAGGGAGAGCGCACGAACCTAGAGGTGGTGGCAATGCCGCCACACAGAAGAAGAGCAGAGAGAAGGAAGAGAACTTAGTGGCCTCCTGGTGAAGGCGGGGGCGTCCTTCCGCGAGCAAGAGTATTTTCTCTGGTGTCTACTAGAAAGAAAGCGTTTGACTCGGATGTTCCTCCCGGTCCCAAACCCCCGTCTCTCTCCCGAACACTTGAACGCGACATAGCACTTCGTTCAGAGGCTGTCGTCGGCCAGTGTACATAAATCACTTCCTGTCTCCGTACTGGTGTGGTGCGATTTCGTGTGCTGGGGTTGAGGGAGCGACGCAGACACGGACACGCGCACGCACGCACGCACACTCAATAGCAGCAGCAGCAGTGAGAGCCCCTTGTCATCAAGCAAGGTGCACAGCTAGCTGTCACGCAGCGCGCAGCGCACCACGACAAAACAACAGCACCTGCGGACAGGGCAAGTTCGTGAGAGGACTGTTGACCCACAGCCAATCATATGAAGCCGCTTAAATCTGAAAATTTTCAACTGCACGAAGTTTCCAAGAAATTTCTCATCTCAAAATCTGCTTAAACCGAAAAATTTGGAGCCTCAGTCCGAAACTGTGTAATAGCAAGTGTTCAATAGACCCCTGCTCAGAATGCGTCTAGACTACCTCGACAATTTCACCCCTCAATAATAACCCGGTACACCACAACATTGTAAACCAGGCCTCAACGAACCAGGTAAACCAGCAAACGGTAAACAAACCAAGATAACCCTACCCCGGTAACCCAACACGCGGTAATCCAGGAGGACGTGATTAGCACGGCGAGATTTGCATTGAAAGCCACTGACCTACTTCCTGAAGCTCGAGGGTCTGTCTCATGAAGAGGTTCCTGAAAAAATGACACTTTACTGGGCACACAATCGTTATGTTGTCTGCAGACAGCATCTCTCAAAGCACGGGTTACCGCGGAAGGGTTGTCTTGAGCGAAACAAGACGTTTTAACTATAAGCGATGACCGATTCTTGCACTACTGCGATTGTTGTACGTGATTCAACCGGATGGATGTGTACCAGCAGATCTTCGACACGGCAGCGAAGACTTACCGATTTCAGTGCATGGTCCCGTAACGAAACAATACATGCACCATACATGCACCTGGATAGCAAGTTGTGCATTGTGGGGTGTGAGGTTCAGTGAGGTCACGCCGAACCAAAAAGAGCCGGTGCATCAAAATGGATTTATATTTTTCGGAGGCATAGGGGTTCCTCGGGGAGGTAACAACAGTCCCGAATCGATGCGGACCTCGGCGTCTCGGCTTCTTCTGCCACTCTCCCGAGCGTGGTCGTACGGGCAACCATCAAGCTCGCGTTGGCTACTCAACCCAACTCCAATCCATTCGCAAGGTTGATGAGGGAGAAGCCAAGGGATACCCCCGTGTCATCGTTAAACCCGCAGGCATCTGTATTTGTCCCCCCCGCAGGGACAGTGAACCCTTTGCCCTCGTCTGGCAACAACATCAACCACAGCAGCTCATCGATCCCGGTAGGACAACGCAACAACCTCCCTGATGGTGGAGCAGGTCGAGATCACGTCCATGACGTCCATGGCGAAGGGCTGAAGGGATGCCGGGAAGCTCCATCTCAGACTAGAAGACGGAATAGGCAGGGGAGAGGAGCTGACACAAAAACGCACGCCAGCGGAGGACGGTCTCGGTCTGGACACAATGGGCGTGAAGCTGTTGAAGGTGGAGGCTCAACCGAAGCCATCGAGGCTGCTTCTCGGTCCGAGGGCAGGAGAACGCAAACTCCCAGGTGGGTGCTGTAGTAGAATCTAGTCGAAAAACAGCTGGAGATACACGAAACCCCAGTATACGGCAGAGGGGCATACCCCCGGTAGGGTAGCTTTTGGAGCGCATACGCATACGTGTAGCCTAGGGTGCCGGATGGCTACTTGTTCAAATGGAAGGGGGCATAAACAACCGTTGCCTTTGGTTCCCGAAGCTAGCAAACTAGCAAGCAGTAGGTTCCTTATTCGAGCAAGTCTCAACTGCCGGCAGTGAGATACACGGCACAGCCGCGACATTCCTGCAAGGCTGTGACATGAACTAACCGTATGTATACGTACGTACTGTAGATGCAAAGGTACCTAAGAGCATCCTGGACTGCGAGCAATGAACTCCGTGGAACAACCGTAGAGGCGACATTCGTAGGGCAAGGGGCGTGACACGAACTACATATGTATGTTTGCAGATGTACATAGAGAGACGAGCATCGAGTGGCTATTTCTTGGTTTGCATCTTTCCCACCGTTAACTACCGTAAGCGTTGCTTTGCCGACCTCTGTCCACAGCCGAGAAGAGGACAACAGCTAGACTTGCTGTCCTGTACACACCTCGAACCGTTTCTGCTTCACGGAGAACGTTGCCATGTTAATGCACAACGTGTATGACATGCTACGCGGAGGTTTTCAAGACGTACACTACGTGTCCATTCCCCCCGGTAGGGCCTCAACTACATCGCTCTCTACTCACCGCTTCTTCCGCATGCTCGTGTCCCGCCTCACTCTGCGACCATCCCCTGCAACAGCAGTGGAAGCGCTGCTAGATACTCCATTCCGCAGGATGCGCACCGCGCGCCCCAGCGGACACACCTTCGCGGACCCGGGCAAGCCCCTCCTGGGGGGCGCCCCCGAAACAGGAACAACCGACGGCGGGCACACACACGAGACCAGCGACTCGACCCTGCGCATGGGCATGGTATGGATAATCCTCCCCACCCCCCGCACCCGAAACCCGCAGCACGTCAGAATGAGGCTGAGGCTTCTACTCCGCGAGGGAGTACTCTACGCCGTCCGCGCGCTCGGGCTGACGCCCACACCGATATGCGGCGGCGCGGTGGAACGGGTGCCAGAGGACGCCCAGCAGGGGTTGACCAATCGGCAAGCAGCAAGGAGATCGGACCAATCCGGTCTCCGGTGGTTGCTCGTTTAGGAGAAGCAGTGTCTGAGGTACCGCCGGTGTTGCCATCCACCCTCGCCGAAGATGGGGTGGACGAAGAAGACGATGAAGCGTTCCCTGCCCTTCCACCTGCAAGCGGGCCCCGCAACACTCCGGGAGAATTGTTGGCGCCGGTTCAGCCCCCGCCGGTGGTCACGGCCGCGGCAGGACATGTCGCACTAGACTACTCTTCACTGAAAGATAGGTTAGCCATCGAGGCAGCGGCAGCGGCAAAGGCAGCAGCGGAATCATCTGGTGCTCTTGGTGGTACAGCAGAGGGAGATGATTTCTCGCGGCTCAGCGTCCTACCAAGCGTCGGCAGTGGTCGAGGCGGCGAAGCGAAACCTGGGAGCACTAGCAGTGCCATTCTCCCAGTCTCGTCCGATTTGCGAGTGCTGGAGGGATGCTCGCCCGGATCGATGGGCACTGACGGGGACGTTTCTCGTGGGATCTCGGCTCTACAGTCACAGTCGCCAAAGCTGCCGTCTCCCCCTTCACGACAGGCGGTCGCGGCCAACAGCGTCACAAGGTGCGCTAGCGCGGAGACGGCTGCCCTGAGAGCTAGGTTGCGTGACCGCTGGTTTCGGCTTGAGGCTGCGAGGAAGGCCCAGCGACAGCGGGAGGCAGCCGAGAGGGCACTGATGACGGCGGAGGATTGCGCTACTCTCGGTAGCGCAGCCTCCGTGCTTGGCTGGAATGGTGGCGATGGTAACCACAGCAGCGCAGAAGAGGGTATGCGTAGTGGCTCGGGTGAAAATCACGACGAAGGAGAAGCGAAAGGTCGTCGTGCCTCGTCGTCACACACGGCAATGACAAGCGCTACTGCAGAAGCTAGCAGCAGTGCTGTTCGAGGAGCGAGCGTGTCACCACTACCGCTAAGAACAGTCTCCGCCTCGGGCATGGCGGCAATTAAGCGTTCCGAGGTCGCCCTCGTTTCCTTCAGCACAGCCACGTTGCCGATGGGAACCAATACCTCGTCGCCACTCAACCAGAACGAGTGCAGCCGGGGGATTTCAGCGATTGCAAGCATACCAGCAGCAGAAGCGGAGCTTATTGAAGCCGCGGAGACGGCGTCATGTCGCCCGGAGACCACCCAAGTCGGTGCGGAACTTTCCGGGGAAGATGGTGGACGTGCTAGCTGCGGCGGCGGCGGCGGCTTGCCTGCCGTCACCGGGGAACACGTCTATGCGGCGTGCCAAGCGGGCATGGCTGGGCTTCTGAATGACCTTCTTGTGCGGAGTGGAGGCAGAGCGGCAGATGGCAAAGACAAGGTCCGAGAGAATGGAACGGAATGTTTTTCAACGGTTCTTTAGGTTCAGGAGCTCCCACGTTCTATGCTGTTGGAGAAAGCCAAGAGCAGCCATGTATCTACCACTGAGTGGAAGCCCACCCGGATGTTGCCCGAATCCTCGCTACAGCGGCCTGCGCAGTCTCTTTCCGTTCTCGTGGGCATGTTATAGATCGCGTTCCCTTCCCTCCCCTTCCTCTGTTCCCCGTCGTCTACGACTCATGTGATGGTTTGCTCTGTTTCCAGCTGCGTCGGACGCCGTTGCATCTGGCTGCCGAGGCGGGATCCCTCGAGTGCGTGAGCCTTCTGCTCAAGCAGGGGACGAGGGTGCGTGTGCTTTTGCCTAGAAGTGAGGTATAATAACTCTGCTGCAGCTGAATTCCGACAGGTGTAGGGTCTTGACGGAAGGCGCACAACAACGCACTACGGTACAGTGCGACGTGTCATTTTCCGTCACGGTGTGTTGCCTTGTCGTGCCGTGATGAGAACTTGCTGACTCCCTTTTCCAGCTCTGGTCCATTGTCGGTACACTTGTTTCTTCCTCACATCAAGGTTTTGAACTTTCAGAGCGTGCTTTTTGCGTTGCCCCTGCCTTCATGCCCTCGGTCGCGTCTTGCTCGTTATTGTACGCAGCTTGATCAGAGAGATCGCTGGCGCGAGACCCCTCTGCACAAAGCTGCTCGCTCTGGCAACTGCGGCATCGTGAAAGCCCTGTGTGCGGCGCGAATGAAGGTATGTAAAGTAGGTGAGACAAGTGCATACCTAAGAGTGCAAGCAGATGTTTCGCTCCGCTTGGACACTCTGCTCTTAACGAGTAACATCTGAGAACTCGATGAAAATACGGTTGCACGGTTGCTGGTGCACGCAATAGGGGGCATATGGTTGACAGATGATCAAGTTCATGCCGCACGGATGAAGTCGGTGTGGTCTCATACCAACCATGGAATGAAAGTGGGAAAAATGCTGATAGTTGACACGTAGCTTCCCTGCAATTTTCAATCCCCACCCCCCTTAGCCAATTGCACCGATATTCAAACTACTTGTCTCCCAAAGGTTAACGTTCGCAACCGGCACCGAGAAACCCCGCTACTCCTGGCGACGCGCTCAAACAGCGCTGATGCGGTTGCGGTTCTGCTTGGCTTCGGAGCTCGTCTCGATGAACCAGACGTGCACGGTGAGTCAGCTTTTGTTGTCTTGTCGCCGGGCAGCTGAGCGGGCTGTTCCGCGGAACACGAAGGTGGGCACATACAATGCAGACGCTGCGTTTTTGGGCGCTTCGTTAAGGCCATAAGCGTCGAACTCTTTCCGTGTTGAACTCACGTTTGATAAGACGCTCCCCCCCTTCTCGAGCGAATTTTCAACGACTTGGTCTTTGTGACGTTTGCCGACGGCCAAAGCTTCGTAATGTTGTGAGTTGTGGATTGCCCTTTTCATTCACAAATTGGCCGGTCAAGGTTACCGTCGCTTAGAAATTGCTGTGATGCTTGACGATAGCAGCGCAGCGAGACACCGCAGCATTCCCCATTCCGTTTGAATCATTCCGTACCCGTTCCATGCATGTCGATCGGATTTTTTTACGTCGATACAGGCGTTACTCCAGTTGTGCAGGCGGCAAGGAGCGGCCAGGCGGAGCTCCTTATGACCATGGCCAACAGCAACCAGGCGTGGAAGAGCAGGTACCATGTATGAAGGGAGGAGGTGTATACCGCGAGATGCTAGAGGTATTTTTTGTTTTGGTTGTTGCGGTGGCGTATGAAAGAACGTGGACGTAGTGGGCTACCCTTCGTGCTCCTACGGGGTCATGACCGGCACGAGTGTATCGAGTGCCAGACGCCGCGCATGTGCACCGGTTCTTCTCGGCATCCATATGGCTTTTGCCGGTAGGCGCGCAATGTTGTGCAAGACAGTATGGACTGGTTTGCAATCCTTTCCTAATGCCCGAAGAAATAAGAATAGGCCATCGCTCTCCCGTGGATCCCAACAGCGAGAGTCTTTCTCTGACCCTCCCCTTTGTTTGCTGATTGTACACCTCCTGTAGTGCCCCCAGCAGTCGAGATAATTCCGCGCCGTATTCGATGGTTGTCATGAGCGGCCAAGCGAGTAGGGCTCGAGGAAATGCCACCGGGAAACGACGAGCCCTGCAGTCTCCGATGAACCCTGGGTCGAGCAACAGCGCCAGAGCGAATGGAGGAAAGGGGAATGGCGTCCCAGTTCCGGCTCTCTCCCCATTACACGAAGCTGCCGCTTCGGGCCAACCGGAAACGTTGTCGCTGTTGTTGCAGCTCGGCGTTTCGTTGGAGGAGAGGGACGCGGCGGCGGGAGTCGGGGGGGACACCCCGCTCGGGAGAGCGGTTAGGGCGGGGCAGATAGACTGTGCCAGGATCTTGCTGGACGCTGGAGCAATGGTCGGTAGGGAGAATGCACGAGGGTAAGTTGAGGCAGGTTGGTGGGCTACAAGTGGGGGAGGCATCGAGTGTTTCGGTTTGCGGCCTGGAGGCGATATGTTCAACTGGCTCCGATGGTTGACAATGCTTCTGATCATCTCAGAGGTAGCGGCCTTTACACCAAACGATGCGCAACGTGGCTCATTTTCTCAATCTTTTCCCACTCGAATACTAAAGGGGGGAACCGGCATCGCGAGAAAAATACGTTTCACGAGATTGCAAAACGTGCTCTTGTTGTATACTCCCTCTTTCTTGCTGCTTTTCGATGTGTTGGTTTGGTCTCTGGGGGACACGCACAGAGAAACGCCGTTGGTGGTCGCGATCAGGGCTGGACAAGCCTCGGCGGTGGAACTCCTCTCTCAGCACGGCGCGCCTCTCGACGGAGGAAAGTCGAACGGAAGGCTAACTGGCGCAGACGGGCGAGCTCCAACGGGGCCACGGGAAAAGATGATGGCTCGAAGGTTGGTTTGTGGCACTATTTTTGCGTATCGCGGCGCATGAATGCAGAATGCAAAATATTCGTCGACGTAGCCGAATTCCAACGTGCGCACAAGCTGGTTCACCGAAATGACCCCACACTTCTACAACAGGTATACTCAATTTTTTTGCACATGTTGTATTGTAGAGAAATCGCAAACCGTTGTCGTGATACGCCTTTAGTTACATCTGCTGCCACCGAATTTTCTGGGGTCCCAGAGGTCCCGCGGGTCGTACACCCTTCCTAGACCCCCGGACACCCGGCAACAAATATGAAACTACAGAAGGCTCGTCGACATAGCGTTTCACATGTAAGACATTTTTCACGTGCGCAGTTTCAGAGTCTGACTTCAAAAGAAACACTGATGCAACAAATGCGTAGATTGTTCGTCGGGCAGCTTTGAATAGAGTTTGAATCATTTCCGTTGATGAACCTATACGCAAGCAGGTCTGCATTCCTTTGCTCCCTTGAGTGCTTCATGGCAGCGAGTGTGTTCGGTGACAAGGCTGCGTTCCGTGCCGGCATTGGATACATGTGGTGGCAGAGAATTGCTCTTCCGTGCCTTAAACTCTCATCAAAACTCCGATCATGATGTCGCTAGCCAAGCGTCACCCCCAACCGCCGGGCACCGTCTTTCCATGCGCAGGAGAGTGGAGCCGCTTGAGCTTGCTCTGCGTGAGGGACAGCTTGCATGTGCCGCAGCGCTGATCGAGGGTGGTGCGCACATCAATGAACGGACATTGCGGGCAGTAAAATTGCAGCCTTCGGGTACCGAGGTTACTGAGGACAAGAGGTGATACATGCAAGGCTCGGTCAGCACCATCTTGTGCCAATCCTAGAATTATGTGCGAATTCTGCTTACAGCGAGCTATCCTTACCACGTCATATCTGTGCACTGTCTACGCCTGGTGAGGAGAACAGCTTAGACCGAGAGGGTTCTGCGATACACGTCTGGTACAAACACAAACACGCAAGAGACCTCCACCCAGGCAGAAAGTTTCCTCAACCCGATCCAATGCATTTCTAAATGCATTCCCTGCTTCACATACTGTTGTATCCGCCGCGGTTCCTGACATGGTTGGAAGCAGTGTCGCTCAAGGAAGACAAGTTATTTACGCCGGAACCAGCCCAGGCGAAAGCCGCCGTGGCGGCGGTTGGAGCGGGAATGGGGGAGCGGGAAGCGCCGGTACCCCTGCGACCACACTTCCTTTACAGGCGGACATACTCCAGAGACTGTCCCCCGAGGTGCCTGAGATCTCCGACTCAGCTCCTCCTGATGGGGGTGGCCTCGAGGTCGACCCTGAGTACGACTGCGACATGTTGGACGGGGTGTCTGTGGACATCCGGGAAACGTGGCGAGATAAAGACTTGGCACGTCGGGAGCCTAGCGCAGGGGGCTCGAAAGAGACGGCGGCGGAGGGAGAAGCGGCCACGAGGCCGGGCCGTCCAGTGGAATACGTAGGGGGGCTCAGGCCCACCCTCGGCGAGTGCGACATCGACCTCGTTTTGGAAGACGGGTCGCGTCTGCCGGCCCATTCGTGTCTTCTGGCGGCGTTCAGCGGAACCTTCTGCGACCTGTTCCTTCGCCGGCACGGCCGCTGCTCTCGCCGCACATGTCCAGCAGCCCGCGGCGGCAATTATTCAAAGCGACAACCTGTACCTGGAGCGTCGGAAGTCGCCGCGGCGGCTGCCGATGGTCGTGAGATGGACCAACGAACACGCTCCCGCGACGTACATCACCTCCTAGCAGGACACGACCCACCTGGTCAAGGACGAAGTGCGACTTCAGAGCATCAACGGCAGACTTCGCCATCAATCTCGGAAGCGGCGGTGGCTGCGGCGGCCTTCGCTGCCACCGCAACAGTGGAGAATACGGCGTGGTGGGCACCGCCCGTCATAGACTGGGGGCCCGGACGGGGGGAAGTTTCCGTAAGGTTTTGGGGTGCGGGTACCATGTCGGCGGTCGTCAAGCACGTCTACACCGGCCAACCGCCATCGAACATGCACGCGGACGGCCTGGGGCGACTGCTCGTCGCTTCGGTGTCGTTGAGGATGAACCGATTGATCCGGCAGGTGGAGCACCTCTTGTCTGACAGGCTTGCGCCGCAGAAGGGGAAAGCTCGGTCTCTTCAGCACGCCGAAGCGGCGAGGTTGCTGAGGGCGGCTCGCGTCCTACGGGCAACAGACTTGGAGAAGCGGTGCACACTGTACATGCAAGCCAACGGCGTGTTCCCTGCAGTCATGAAGGTGGATGGAGGATTTCGTCTCGCGTTTTGCTTTTTCGTCGTGTTCTAACCATACCCCAGGTTACAGTAAATATTTTGTGTGTGGTGTTGCGCAGAAGGACCAAATCCTGTTTTCGTGTTGAGGTGTATCGCAACTCGTTGCATTGCATGTACCGGGGTGCAAGCTAAGGAATTATCAGTGTGCACCGCCCGTCTACCCCGTCTAACCTCGTCGGTTACATGTTGTACACGTCGCAGTTGCGCCGGGAGCTGGTCGTCCCTTCTCTCAACACGTTGGATGTGACAAGGGGCTTGGCTCGGTTGAGCAACAGCGGGTATCTGGGATCGGGCCCTGCGTACGCGTGGTCTTCGTCTGGGGCGGTGTCCACGTCTTCTGCTTCCGCTACGGTAGCGGCTGCCAAGCTAGCAGTCGACTTGTCACTGCGCAAGCGAGCCGTGGACTTCGATCAGCTGGTGCCTCTCCTGCTAGACACGGTCCGGTGAGGGTTGCGGGCTGCCTTGGCAACCACACTTGTTTTCCAAGACTATACTTCTAGTGCGCCCTGTTTTTTTTATGCGTAGTCCTCGAAGAACAAGTGCAGGTTCATCACATGGTACAACGCCCTCCTCAACCTCTAGCACTGCACCCGGTGCACCCCATACAGGTGTACATCGACGCTTTCTATTGGGCGCCAGGAGCGCGCGGTTCTTCTCACGGCAGCCTTGGCCGACGCGTGTCCTCAAGAATCTCCACGCAGCCAGAACGACGCGCCCGACCCACTCGCTGCTCCGCAGCGGCGGCGTCCGATTCCACCAAATCTCCGAGGTTGCTGCGATGCGGTTCGTTGCGACGGGGACAGGTGGAACGCCGACCGACCTGCTGTTCCGCTCGTGTCGAATGTCTCCGCGTTTTCCCACGGTATGGGCTGGCTTCTCAGGACCGGAACGGTAGCCGACGTTGTCTTGGTCCTCCCTGAGCAACCTAGCCACTCAGACGCAATGCCGCCGGCGACGGTGATCGAAGATGGGGAGGAGGACGAGAAGAACTACTCAGGAAATCGAGAGAATCTCAGTCCGGGTGGCAGGGTTGGTGTACAGTCCAGCGAGCGGGGTGCGCACTCAGCCGATAGCGCGGTTGATTCTCCCGCCAGAGTGTCGCCAGGAGGACCCGTGAAGGACGAAGGCTCAGGACGGCCGGCGACCGATTCGCGCAAAATGGAAGGGACCACGAAGGATCAACTTGTGAACAGCCGTTTCCTGGCGCATTCCATGGTGTTGGCCTCTAGATCGGAAAAGTTTTCAGCAATGCTACGTTTTGTGCAAGGACAAGACGGCAATAGCCGAACCTACGCAGACAGCGTCGACGGTAGCAGCACGGACGATGATATTTTCACCGATGCTGACACACCTGAGCGCGAACACAGGAATAGAGAGGAACCTCCATGGGGTGATGTGGAGCAAGGAGAAGCTGCTGGTCACAATCAAGGCGAAGCTGTGGACAATATTGGCAAAGATGGGGAGGTTTCGCAGCCCCCTCGAATCGACAGCCGCCGACCCTCGCCACCCAGCGACCGGAGATGCCACTGTCGCCGGCGTCCCCGACGTAATACGGCGCCAAGAGAAATGGAACTCCACTCTCCAATTCTCACTCCGCAGTCTCTCGGCCTTTTTCTGGAGTTTCTGTACACTGGCGTGCTGGACACGTCGCTGTCAACAAGGGAGTTGTCCGAGCTCGCCCTCATCGCGGACGAGTATCTCGTGCCCGACCTCATTCGGCAGGCAGAAGCTCTTCTGGTGGAGTGCTTGGTGAGACGTGGCGATGTGCGATACTCCCTGCAAGTCACTGTATCTATTGATGCTCCAGTCACTTTTTACGCTGTAGTCTGGTACTGGGCGTCCTTCGTGCTACCGTTCCCGCACCTCATGAACGAGTTTCAGTATTCAATTACGGCTGCATTTTTTTTTTCTTTGGTTGTTCTTTATGCATTCCCCTCACTTCCCCTTCTCTGTGATACAAGCACGGCACCCTGTTTTGCTTAACCCGCCACCATCCTTTTCCCCCTTCCTCGACCATCCTTGCGGCGTGATGTGGTCGCGGATTTGGAGTTATGCTACAGCAGTTGTCTTGATCCCTGCTGTTTTTTGAAATCCTAGCGATGACTCTCCGTAATCACCCCGAAAAACGCAGGCATCACGGAACGCTGGCGACTATTCGTTCGACTCTACAACGTTCAACGGAACGACCACCGTTCAATCCAAGAGAGAAGAAGACACAGAATCAGCACCGCTTGAACTTCTGCAGCTGGGAGTTTCACTGGCGCTGCCAGATCTATCGGCCGCGGCAGCGCGGGCCGTGCTTCTCCAGCTGGAAAGGGTTTCCAGATCGGAGGCTTTCGAACAATCGAGCATGTCTAAGCGAGAGCTCGTCATGGCAGCTCTGGAGGCGATGTGTTCGTGACTTATCGGTTTCACTCTGTTTTGAGGCATGTTCGTTGGCCTCAATTGCTACTGCTACACCGTAGCAATCTAGATCGAGGAAGCTGTAGACCCACGCAGAGGTAAAGTTGGCGTTTCGCGGGGCGTGTGAGTTTGTATCTCGTCATGCGAGAGTTGCGGTCACGAAGCTGCAGTCAGCGTCATGCATTGGGATTTGAAGGTGTCGATTGTGTTAGATCAACCAAGCACCACGGCTGTGTTATGTTGTGAGTGAATAACAGCGTGAACCCTCGCCGAATTTTGGTGAAACCGTACAACCGGATCCATGGTTCTCTTCCTTGGTTCGCCACGAAGACGTAGTCTCGTAGCACCACATATCATTGCCATTCGCCCCGCAGCCACCAAATCACCTCAGAGTGTGTGACTTCATCAACAAGTGGTATGGGCCGAGCGATTTGTATTCCACGCCACCGTAATTAAATCACTGTTGTGTGACGCCCGTGTCAAATTCACTCGTAGAGCGATGCCACCGAATCTGGAAAAGGCGTCCCAAAAATAAATCGATGTCACGAAAACCCTGGTCTAAGGATGTCACGTGTGCGTCACTCAACCTCAACGCTTGACTCTCTTGTTAGACGCCGGCTCTGCTCCTCGAGCATGCGACATTGCTCCGCCACCACTGCCACCACCGCCACTGCCACTGCCTCCGTCTTCGTTGGATTCCGCAGCCTCTGCCTCCTGGTGGGCATCGTAAGCGTCGTGCATCTTGGCCATGTTGGCCTTGGAGGTGTCGGCGTGGTCGACGATGGGCTTCGGGTAGTCCTTGCCGATGATGCATCCGCAACCTCGTTGCACCTGAAGTTTGTGGAAGAATGGGCTGTGAAGGGGATTCTCTTTTGAGAGCCCGTTGGAGCCGTTGGAGTGCGAATGAACAAGGAGGCTAGATGAGGCGAATATGGTAAGGCGAGAGAGTGGGGGGAGGGCATCCATCCATGACTACCTATCGGTGCTGCTCATGACCACGTTTCCTCGAAATTCCGTTTACATGTTCCACTTTATCCGATAGGTGGCTTCCAAGGCAGTGGTACAATAATCTGCTGCAATTTTTTCTGTTGCAGGGAGAGGAGAACATACCGCTACCTTTCTACTTTGTACTCCCCGGCTGGTTTTTCGTACCCGTCAATTCATCGTTCACGATGGCAACTGCAATATTCACCACACCGGTTCAGCAAATCGAGCACGTCCCCGCGCACTCCGGTCATCGACTACGCAGTTGCTCTCGCGGTGGCAACCATTGAGTCATCAGCCGTACCTGTAACGGCGCCGTCCATGGCTCGTAGATGTACTTCGACGGAAACTTTCGGAGGACTGGCAAGTACTTCTTGATGTAGTCCCCATTTTTGTCTGTCTTCTTTCCAAAGGCTATTGGACTATAGCACCTGAAGTACTGCACGGGAAAGAGAAAACATGTACACAAAACGACAAAATACTTGTGAAACGGGAATGAAATGAAGCCTGCAAACACCAATGACTCGGCTCTTCTCTGGTGGTCGGTATACTCTTTCTGACGTTAGGTAGTGGCACCGGACACCTAAAACATTGAGCTATCACAACACTAGCAAGAATGAGCGTTGAAGTCTGCCACTTGTTTAACATTGTTAAATATCACCAAGCCACCCAAGCGACAGCACCTCCATGAGTCCGCGGTCACGAGAGCACACCAACAGCACGACAACATACGCAATCTATCGTTCCTACGTGCTTGGCGGATTTCCTCTCGCGGGCTTCTTCTTAGACTTTTGACACCTTCGATTCACCCCTTGCGTGCCGACGAAAAACGCCGAAGACTCTCCTGGGCAGGAAGGACTGCTTGTCACAAGGGTACTCACAGCACGACAATAGGTGGCACCCTGTCTAGGTTACCAGGAGACGGACAATACGAAACATACATCACCACCATCGAAGCACGCTAGGGTACAAGTGATTGGCTTGAAAAGCGCAGAGAGGCTTGCCTGGTAAAAAAAGGCCGAACAGCTCAACCACTGCCAGTTGAAGTTGTTGATGCTCCAATCCGCGTCGAGCAACAGCTCGTCGAAAACGGCAGCTCCGTCCTCCCAGCTCTGCCACAGGTCACCCCGCGTCAGGAAGCAAGCCACTGCGTGGCGAGCGAGGTGGTGAATCCATCTGGTGTGGTGCACAATAGGGAAAATTGGCAAGATCATTGAGCACCTAGTTTAAGTCAATTAGGCATATCATTCCGTTAGTGTTCCTCGCCTGACCACCATTGTCCATACTCTTGGGACGACTTCTCGCACAGGATCATGGACAAGGTCTCTCTGCGTTTTTCTACTTCGTTTCTCAACAAAGAAACAACAATTCAGCCGTTATTGTTCTCCACCAAGGGCCCGCTGATTTACGAACAACATGCGTTCAGTAGCTGAGGAGAACTGAAGCCCATATTATTCGTTGAGGATCGAACTCATTACCCTTCAGAAGGGGTACGAAGGCATCGGCGGAATCATCGGGGCGACCTAATTCCCATCGTTGCGATGTGTAAGGGCAGTATGAGGTCATCACTGAAGCGGTCATGTCTGCGACGCCATCCGTGGTAATGGAGGAGGAAACCCAGAAGCCTTGAGATTGGCACGCCCAGCAGATGTGACACGACCAGTTCTTCGCCAACAGAAGGAGCGCCGTAAAAAACAAAAAGCGCGTGCTTCGAAGCAACGTGATTGCCCCGAGGAATTCTAGAGGCATTTAACCACGGACTAGAAACTAAGGCGCTCATCGGTGGGAATCATTTTGGGATAAACTTGGAATATTCTTGAAGTGCACATGTTCCCCAAAACGAATACACACCCTTCGTCTTTGAGCTGCGTCATAGCGGCGTCGATCCAAGGGAATCCGGTTCTGGCCTCTTTCCACGCCATCAGCTTCTCCTCGTCCTTGTCCCACGGTATCTGCCTGCAGTGCCCCAGAAAAACCATGGCGGGAACAAACCAGGCGCAAGAACCCTGACTACGTCCCATGTACAAAAAATAATGGCGTGCACGTGTTCCTGACCCCTGAAAATCAAACTGTGGGAGGGGGGTGCAGGAGTATGAAGCGTCTTGCACCTTGGGCGCACAACGGTCGGGGCTCAGTCGTTCACCTGGTAACGTCGCAACCTCTTGGACGCTTGTTTGAATCTAGGTGCAGCCACACGAATTGAGCTTCTCTATCATATCATGCACAAACCATGTGAAAGCGATAATTCATGTTGAGGCAACACATCGACTTCACGCCGGACGAAGGAAAGGAACGGTTGAATCTTCCTAGTGATTAAATTTAGGCAAGATTCGCAAGGATGTTCTCAAACGCATGGTGGCAGCGCAAAACAAGCGTCTGCCTTCGGAATATTTTCTAACTAGGACAAAGACCTATCCCTACCTGGCGACGGGATTGCCGACCATCTTGTCGAAGTTGGGGATGGAGTACCCACTGAAATAGTTGAACTCTTTCCACAGTAGTTGGCCCTGTTTAACGGAGCAATGATGGGGAGGCAATACGTTGTATGTATCAACAAAAACGAGTCCAGATTCCAGAGCCACAATGACCCGAATTGCGGCGAGCATGTGAGCATGTTGTCCCCTTGTATTCTAGATTTGGGAGAGGTTTCTCGCACAGACGAAATCTGGAATACGAGGGTCACGATTGCGAAAAGAGGCGCATTTGCCTACATAGCCGCAAATGATTGCCGTAAGAAGCAGCCTGCCCAAATACAACCTAAAACCTAGTTCCACTTGGTCTCGGATAGGGAACTTTGCTGCTCGGTTTGCTGCACACCAGAGGACCGACGACGAGAGCAACGACTGGAAGAGCGCGAGGTACACTGGGAGGGTCCGAAAGCTGAAAACGCCTGACTCCGCGGTACAACCACCTGGGAAGTGGAACACGTTCTTTTGCACCCATCACCTCACGGCTAAGCCAACATCGTGCGATGAAGACAACGTCCGACAGCCAGTCATTCGCTCGTATGTTTCGCTTGAGAATTCGGCCAACATCATACGGCGAGAGCAATCCAAGGCTGCGTCGCCCGCCACACGGCGGGGCACGGTGCGGTACAAATCACCTTGAGCGAAACCGGAGGCTTGGAGCCACCTTTTTTGGTGTAAACCTTGCAGAGCGCGTGCCAAAACCTCCGCGTGCTCAAGCATCCATGAGAAATGTACATGCTGAGGACGGTTGTGCTGGGCTCGATCGAGTTCGGAGAGGTTTTGGGCTTCTCGAACTTTGATATCCAGTCCTCCCTTGCCTGGCTCAGCCACACAGCGCACCGCGTATCGAGAGGGAAGGAGGCAAACGTTAGCCGTCCAGCGGCTGAGAAGGGTTGAGAGAATCAGAAAATGTTCACCGTCTTCCCGCCAAAAAGATATCCACAGTAATCAAGCAGTGTGGGAGGGTAAAGACGTGTGCCCGTGGCACATCTCAGCCAGCACACACCATCATCATTCGCTCATAGACACGCAACCCCGCGTTCTGTTTTTGAGATGTAGAACACTGCATATGGTTACCGAGTGCCTGCGACGCTCCCGGCCGCGCATATCAACGACCGTTTATTTCTTTGAACAGCCTTGACTCCCTTGTCATGATCATCACTCACCATGACGCGTTCGAGCCTGGCAAGAGCTTCTCTCTCGCCCCCTCGAAATTTCAACGCCTTTGCCGGCGGCTCCACGCCCAGGTCTGCCAGAGAGGGAATCGAGAAGCGGTCGTACTTGGCATCGTCCGGCGATGCACCGGGGGCTGGCAAGTCTTTGGAGATGTCGGGGGCGCAATCGGGCACAGGGCCCGCGTTGTCGTGCAGCTGTTGAGAGGCGAGGGTAAGATACAGAGGGAGGGGAAGGAGATAATCGCCGCGGCGAAGGGGCGTGAGAATAGGCGACGAGGAGAAAGCGAGGGTTGCTTAGCTTGTGCACGCTGACCATAGGGCACGCACAGCTTTTGCCAGCTTCCGGGGTCACACACGGCAAGGGTTCGCTTGAGAGCACGACAAGAAAAGAGGCAGCTTTGCTAGCACCCAACGAAAAGATGC